ACAAAAATGCATGCATGCATACATACATACGTACATACATGCATGTATGCATAAATACATACGTACATACATACATACATGCATGCATACATACGTACAAACATACATGCATGCATGCATACATACATATACATATACACACACGCACACATGCATGCATGCATGCATGCATGCATGCATGCATGCATGCATGCATACATATCTATCTGTATATACATATATACATATACATATATACACATGCATGCATACATGAATACATGCATACGTACACACATACATACATACATACATACATACATACATACATACATGTATACATACATGCATACATACATACATACATACATGCATGCATGCATACGTACACATGTACAATTACACATACATATACAGTTACATATGCATATACATACACTTGTATACATGAATGCATGAATACATGAATCAACCCATGCATGCTACGTACATACATACAGACATACATACATGCATGCGTGCGTGCATGCATGCATGCATGCATGCATGCATGCACGCATACATATATGTGACCACATAACTGTACTTCAGTTGTTCTACGCTGTAAACACATGTCCTATACATACACATATAAATATATATATATATATATATGGCACATAAATACATCGTTAAACAAATGAACAAGTGAGTCAACAAATTATGCATATAATTATGTAGAAACATTGTATTTGTTTGAATTATACACACACATATATACACACACACAAACTCTCTTATTATATATATACAATAATATCTATACAGGGTGGTGTGGATTTACTTGTACATGTGAACACACTTGCTCTGATGCCGCCTGGGCCTCGCAAAGCGCTTGCTCACCCACGGCCACCTGTTTTCAGCTCAAGGCACTGGGTGAGGGTTGGGGCCAGGTCATGCCGAGCGCCCTTTCATAGAGCGCTTATGGTCCCTGACGGTGGCGATTTAAGATAGAGGGTTAGGGTATAAAAGCAAGTTTTGTAAGTAATTGGGGTTATATGTGCTTATAATAGTATGGCAACCTTGCTTATCGCCCTACTTTCTAAGTCCCCTGATGCTGTAAGCACCAGGACCCCTCAAGTGCCCCTTAATAGAGCCTTGAAGGTCCTCAGCAGTGGGCATTTAGGACATACGGTATCAGAGGGTAGTTGGCGGGGTCTGGGTAGGGCTTGGATGATATGGTGGAGGTCTTACGGTTCAGGATTTGGCATCCGTCAAGTCAAGGCGTTACGGTTGAGGGTCTGGCACTTTTGTTTTGTAGCCACGTAAATGTAAGGGCTCAGGGTCGAGGATGCAATTGGGTGAAGCCAGGATTTGAAGGCAACCCCACTCTGTTTCGGGGGCAATGCCGGGCCCTAAAAAAATACAATTCGGGTTTGGAGGGCGGCGTTAATTTGGGGCGGGGTGGGTGGAATATTCCTAGACCCTCCATCTACCCTCTATTGGACCCTAGATACCTTTAATTTGGAACCATATACCCCTATTTGAGGGTAGTTGGAGGGTGCTGGTTCATAGGTTTTTAGCGTATTCGCATCGGATTATGGCGACTCTATGCACCATCAGGTCTCCTGCACACCAACAAGCCGAGCCCTCTGCAAAACACCAGGAGCCAAATTTTCAAGCTGCAACTTGAGTTTAGGGCTTCGGGTTTAGGGTTTAGGGTTAGGCTACAGCTCGAAAGACAGACACTACAACTCCAAAGAAGCCTGAACCCTAAGCCTTAAAACCTTGAACCCTAAAACCCCAAGCCTTACAACCCTAAACCATAAAGCCCTAAACCTTAAAACCCTAAAGCCCCCCTTGCCCAGGCCTGGCCAACGCTGCAGAGTAAGGGCAGAAAGAGCCCAAGAGCCCGGGAAGGGAAGGCCACCGTCATAGCTCCAGCCGTGGCGTCGTCGGAGGATGGGAGTACTGCTTTAAGCTTTTGGGGCTTCAGGGTTCGGCTGCTACTACTGGTCATTCTACTACTTGTGCTGCCACTTCAATAACAACACGGATTACAACAACTCAGTGATGCGGCGCCGATGTCGGCTTGACTTTGGTTTTCCTTTAGGACGGTTCGGTCTGAGCCAAAAGGCTGCATGTAAAGGATGACGCCGTAAGGGACGCAAGGACCTTAAGGGTTTAGGCTTTAGGGCTGCAGCCTTGCTACACGACAAGAGAGGATGCAGCCAACTCCAGACCTTGAAACACGGATCAAGGATGCCTGGTGACGAAATGTTCCATGGTTTGTCTTGTGGTCATCCCGATAACGACGATCCGTCTCAAGGCGTACGATGTATATATGTTTGGGCATGTACAGCCGTAACACGTCACACATGCAACCTCATGCAAGCACATATTTAAAACAAAACACCGCCCAAGATCTCTATACATACACAGTACGTCTTGTATACGTGCATAACGCGCATGAACAAGTACATGCGGATGGATACAGACACCTGCACGAGCATCATACGAATTCGCAGACTTGGGCATATCATATGCTCTTGGAGGCTTCAAACTCAACATCCTAGAAGCCTATAGCCCAAGCTTCGCGGTTGCTCCCCCAAGCTCGAAGCATACAACATCATACTCGTTGACCTTAAGGTCTGGGGTTTAGGGTTCAAAGCCTTACTTGCCCTTCTAAAGCCCTATGGAACACCTTGTAAAGCCCTAGAAAGCAGCCCAAACTAAACCCGAGAGCTTTGTCATCAAACCCAAACACACAAACCAACGGACCAGAGCCCGTCAAGACACAATTTTCAACAAATCTGAACTTCCAAAGCCCAATAATCTAAAATCCCTACACCCCAAACTCCAAAACCTATGTAAACCCCTGAGCCCAAACCCTATAAAGGTATAGCAGGCCTTCCCATGACTCCTCGGCAGGGGCTGTCAGCACCTTGATCGCCGCCTGCTTTCAAGACTTCGACGTTTTTGGGTTTCAGCGTTCACAACCCTAAACCCCATGCCCTCAACCCTAAACCCCTGAACCCTACACCCCTAAACCCTAAACCCTAGACCGAGTTAAGGGTTTATAGGGCTTCGGGATGTAACTACTTAATAAATGAATTCGGGTCTGGGGTTTCAGGCCTTTGGCTCCGGGTTCGGGATTTAGGGCATACCTGGACCCTGAAGAACCTGCATTTTAGGGTTAGGGTTTAGGGTTT